CGTTTCGGATCCTTAGTTAGGAGTGGATAACACTCAGACCAGCGCCATCAGGGTGCCCCAGATCAACGTAGACAGGGGAATTCTTGTCAGTGTGATTATTGTGGCCGACCATGACATCTTAGGGCTGCTTGCTGGAAGCTCCATCTGGAACTTAAACCGCCTCCTTACGACCGTATTGCTATTATTGCTGAGGTACCACTACCTACTACTGTTATTTCTCTTTGGTAAAGTGATATGAATGTTATCACTTCCCGATTAGATATTCTTATGTCTGTCCTGACTTCTCAGGGTTTGACTACTACTACTGTCACCATTACAAGTATACCTCATGTTTTTCATGCTTGTGTGAGTCCGTCCCCCCTTTAGATGTTGAACTCGGGTGCAAATGATCACATGACAGGTGAGACCCATCACTTCACTACTTTTGACTAGCAGTTACATACACAGGTTCAGCTAGCAGATGAGACACATGCCCTTATTTTTTGTAAGGTTACAGTACACCTCTAGATGGCTTTACATTACATTTAGTTTTTCATGCGCCAAAGTTGACCATGAATCTATTATCTGTACATCAGTCAGTCAAAGATTTTCATTGTGCGATTGTGTTCTTATCCAATTCGTTTTATTTGCAGGACATGAGTACCAGAAAGATTATTATCAGGGGACATGAGAGAGATGGACTGCATTATCTAGGTGATCCACATCCAGTTTCACCAGTTCCTCCATCTACGTCACTTGCACCTGCTTTGTCTTTATTTGTTCTTAACTTGCATGCTAGTATTTTACCTAGTACTTGTTATGATTTTTCTTCACAAACGGTTCAGTTGTAGCATGACCGTTTTGGACATACAAATTTTAAATATTTATGTATGTTATTTCCTACTTTGAGTAATGTTTGTGTTGGTGGTAAACTTGACTGTGTTATATGTTTCCTATCGAAATATTTTAGGACCAGTTATATTCCTCGCATGCACCAGTCACCCAAACTATTTGACCTAATACACTATAATATTAGATGCTCGATACTATGTGACATTTATAAATGACCATACCCGTTGTACTTAGGCCTACTTTTTACATAGGAAGTCCGATGTACTTGCTATAATCACTCAGTTTTTTCAGATGATTAAAACACAATTCGATGTCATTGTTCGTGCTCTTTGATTGGATAATGCCAAAGAATATGTGTTTGATGCCTTAGTGTCTCACCTTTCTTCTAAGGGTATTCTTCAGCAACTCAATTGTCCATATATTTTTGAGCAAAATGGAATTGCTAAAAGGAAAATAGGAGTCTAATAGAGTTGGTACGTTGTATGCTTAGAGGTATGGGAGTACCAAAATCTTATTGACATTTTACTGTTTTGACTTCTACCTTTATGTGCAATCGTATACTAAGTCGTGTTTTTTAGCATAGGGCTCTCTTACATGTTTTATTCTCTAAGAGAACACCTTTTTTGGTCCCCCCTTGTATTTTTTTATGCACATGTTTTGTTCAAGATCGATCTTATACTCACCATAAACTTGACGATAAAGTGATTCGTTGTGTGTGGGCTATTGTCATCATCTAAGGAGTATCGGTGTTATGATCCTATTAGGCAATGTATGTATCATTGTCTAGATGTTACCTTTCTTGAGCATATTTCTTATTTTTCTTTTAGTCATGTGTCTACCCCTCCAGTTGATGATAGTCCCTTTGATTTTTCGTTACCACAGGAGCCAGATCCATTGGTCATTATCACTACAGAGTCATCAGTCTCTCCTCCTCTAGATCCACTCATCCCTGTCAGTACAGAGTTACCAGTCTTTTTCCTTTGCAGGTTTATGTTCGTCGCCCTCACTCTCATCCCCCTATTGATATCCCCTCTACCTAAGGTGATGCAAGTAATACTTCTTAGTTCGTTGAGTATATTGATGCACCTGTTGTTAGTATTGATGAGATTGCAGGTACTGAGTCAATTACTTTACTTGATGAGACATTGTCAAAGGAGAATGATGATTTAGGGCGACGTTATTCGTGGCGTGATTGTCATCCAATTGTTCATTATGGTTGGACTGCTAGGATTTTATATCCGATCTCTGCTTATGTTTCTTATGGTGATCTGTCTCCTACATTTTGAGCTTATAGAATGGTCTTATAAGCTCTTCAGCGTAATCATACATGAGATCTTGTCTCTTTACCTTCAGGGGTAAAGCCTATTGGTTGCCGCTGGATTTACACCATGAAGTTTCTTACGGATGATATTATTGATCTTCACAAAGTTAGGCTTGTGGCGAAGGGCTTTATTCAGGTACCAAGTCATGATTTTGGGGCTATCTTTGCCCCCCGTGGAAAAATTGACTATTGTTCGATTGATTATTTATTTGGTTGCGAAGTACTCTTGGCCTCTTCATCAGTTGAATGTGAAGAATGTGTTTCTTTACAGTGATCTGAACGATATTATTTATATGGATGCACCACCAGGCTTTCGTGGTGAGAGGGGGTGTATGCTGGAAAGGTATGTCGACTGCGTAAGTCTCTTTATGGACCGAAACAGTCACCACGAGCTTGTTTCTCTCACTTTAGTAGTGTAGTTGTACGTTTAGGGTTCACTAGATGTCATTCTGATCATACCTGCTTCATTCGACGGAATACTTTTGGACAGTATGTCATCTTTTTTTGTATATGTTAATGATATTATTATTATTGGAGATGATATTTTTGGGACTACACATGTCAAGGTAGATCTTGGAAAGGCCTTCGATGTGAAGGACTTTGGATTTCTGTGATACTTAATTGGGGTTGAGGTTGCCAGTAGTAGCAATAATATTATTTTTTCTTAGAGAAAGTATTTTCTAGATTTTCTCTCAAACACTAGGATGCTGGGGGTGCAAACCAGCATCATCACCCATGATTCCAAACATAAAGCTTACTGCTGAAGGTGAGAAGTTAAGAGATCCGACTGTCTATCAGAGGTTGGTAGGTATACTTATCTACCTAGCCAACACTAGACCAGACATTTCATTCGCTGTTAGTCGAGTTAGTCAGTTCATGCACAAGGCGTGTTAGTCTTATCTTAATGTAGTTTATTATATTCTTCAATACCTCAAGTCTAGTCTTGGACTTGGGTTGTTCTATGCATCAGGATCTCAGACTGGTTCTCTAGCCTCTTATTCAGATTCAGATTATGGGGAGGAGTGTGACAGTTGATCTACTACGGGCTTTTGTGCTTTTCGAGAGACTCATCTTATTTCTTGGAAGAGCAAGAAGCAGTCAGTTGTTTCTCGCTCGTCAGCAAAGGCAGTGTATCGGGCACTAGCACTTGGCACATGTGAGATTATCTGGTTATGATCGATTCTTGGCGAGTTGAAATTTACAGTGACTTATTTATCTACATTATATTGTGATAATCAATCTGCTTTTCAACTTGCTTCTGATTTTGTACTACACGAGAAGACGAAGTATATAAAAATCGATGTTCACTTTATTTGGGAGAAGGTTAGTTATGGTATTGTCACTCTATTGTTTGTGGGGACCAGTGATCATGTTACAAATGTTTTTACCAAACCTGTCACTCTATTCATTCTCCGAGACTCCGTTGTCAAGCTTGACTTTGTTGATATTTTTGCGCCTAACTCGAGGGAGAGTGTTAGAGTATAGTCTAGTTTATTAGAGTTTCTTCTAGTTTATTCTTTTCCCTTTTTTACCTTTACTATGACTTTTATATTTGCCTAAACCGCAAGGATGTTTAAGTCACTTTGTACTATTATTTGACTATATATATGAGGCTCTACTCTTAATTTGAGTATCTATTTTCATTCACGTTTATTTCAAGTGTTTCTAACTACGAACACACTTTATGTCGAAGTAATGGAGGTTGATGTTCCCCAAGAATAGATTAATGATATTATCTTGTTCCATTAGGCTACCAACAACAATCTTATACTTTGATGCTAAATATAAGCGCATGGTCCAATTCTGCAATCAAATTCAATTTTTTTTTTGGATAGGTGCAATGTTATTCATTGAGGTTGAGAATTCAAGTCATTCAAATAAACTAATGGGTGTTGTTTGGGATTATGTTTCTTTGGTAAGAGAATGCAAGAATTGGAAACATGATTAGACATTTGAGTTATAAATTTCTTACATTATGCAACTTGGATATTTGAAGGTGTCTCTTAACTTAGAATTGTAGAGTGTAATTTCATTTGTCGTTTGAAATGATCCATGTGCAACACACGTGTACATCAACTAGTATATATATATTCACACCTTATCAAAGAAACAAATATATTTACGCGATCTAATATTTGCATGGGCAATTAAATACAATTTAGTTCATGCTTGGTTAACCACTACTAATGACTACGAATTCTCATATGTTAATTTGATACGTCATATCAAAATTATCAGAGACATCAATAGTTTGACACAGTTTAGAAGAGTGTCGTCAATCGGATGAGATCTTATTTTATTACAAAATGATCTCAACTGCTCTGTATCTTTGGATTAAAAACTTGTTCTACTTTATTATATAGATAAATAAGAAAAAAAACAAAAGAAAAAAAAATCTGTATAGCAAAAATTTAATGCAAGTGTGATAAGGTCCGCCGCGTGAACAATTAATCTTGCTCATGTGGTAACTTAAAATTTCCACCATCCCATTTTGCTATTTTGTTAACACCAAGTTATTTCACCTTTACGCCCTTCTGTGCTACTTGACCTTACGACTTTAAGGAGTCACTACCTAATTTAAAAAGTAGAAGGGTCTAATGTACAATTTCCAAGATCTCAAGGGTTATCTCAGGAATATGCCCCAAAAATTCAGAACCGTTTAACGTTCTTCAAGCAGATGCACTCACAGCAAAGAATTATTTATCTACATCATAGTAGTGGAAACATTACCCTTCTTTTCAGCATTATACAACATGGAAAAAGGCTCGAGATAAACCCTTATTAGAGATGCTAATTTGACAATCTTCATAATCCCTTGGTAAAGTTAAAGACTTTCTTGGAAACAATCACCTCCTGGTCCACATCTAAACCAACAGAAACAATGGTCATCTTCTTCAAGACCTTTGCATTTTCCAAAAAGTAACTAACAAGAAGCATCTCTCTTCCTGCCCTTTGAATCCCCTGATTTCTAGTGCCTCAAGATTTAACACAAGACAACCAGGCACACATTGTGGAGGACACCAGTTTGAAAGACGCACGTGCTCCTAATGACAAAAGAATCATCAATTTTAGCTGCTACTAGTACACAGGAAAGAAAAGGTGGAATGAAGATTACAAGTAGACTTACAGCATTTAGAATGAGAACTTCTAGGGTGGGTGAACTGTCAAGTAACTTGTTTATAGCATCTTGGTTACATGCAGTTTCAGTTGGTTGAGAAAGTGGCAACAATTGCCAGACAGAATTTTCATCCGCCAAATCCAAATAGATCAGGTCCCTAAAAATGGGAAAATCCTTATTAGATTCATAGAGAGCCTGCACAAATAACACAAGTCATGCAATTATGGGAAAAGTTTCACTTGGTGAAGTGTCAACAGGAACAAAGATTGTGAAGAAAACAGAGCATACTTTTTCTTTCTGGTAATTAGAAAAGAGTATGCTTACCTGCACCATAAAATAAGATAATGATAAGTATTTCACCATGAAGATTCCTTGAAGTATCTCAAAAGCTCTCTCTCCGCCGAACAGAAAATCAACTTTTGCTTTGACTAGGCTACATAAGTTTGTCAAAGTATAGTGGCTCTGTACAATATCTGTGAGCTCAAAGTATTCAAGGGCTGGGACTTCAACCAGAAAAGTGCATTCACAATCATTTTCAAAGTTATCTGCGCAACAAGATAGTGTGAACCTCTTTAATGTCGGAGAACATACATTGAAAACCTCTATATGATCAATTCCAGATTTAAAAATAACTAAATTTTCAAGGGCAGGACAGCCAGAGATAAGACGTTGCGTAGAGTTCCCATCTTGAAATAGAACTGAAGTGAGATGGACTACCCTGAGATTCGGAAAGTGGGCATCCGTAGGAATATCAAAAGTGATCCCATAGCTTAGCTTAAGGACCTTGAGTGACTCACTAGTAAATAGGCATTGAGGTAAGGCAATGGGATTCGTAAAGAAAAAGAGATCAAGCTCCTGAACATTCTTCTTAATTACAGTAGAGATCCATGCCTCAACACGCGACAAATCATAGTCTTCACTACAATTAAGGCTGAAATTCATAATATAAGATACGTCGTGGAGATCCAACACCCCGTCCACAAAATTCATGAAGCACGTTGCTACTGAGTGTCTTTTAGACTCTTCAGCAGTAAACAACAATGTGTCATCAAACTCAAGATTTGGAATAAATGTCCAAAGCTACTTCCATCGGGTTGATAGAACACTGGTTCCCACTGCGTATTTTGTGGGAAGAAAGGATAGGATGTGGCAGAGGATTCCATCTGGCAAATGGCTTATTCTATCCTGAGAATTCCCAATAACCACTCGTGTAGGAAATTCTTGGATTTTTGAGGGTAAGCCCATCACCAAGATCTCTGCTGATAATGGATCTACAATGTCAATAAAAAATCATTAATTAAAACATTAAAATGAGAAGTCACAAGGGAATTGTAAGCTCAAATTTAACCATCATCAAATTTTTGTTCCTTTTTTTTGTTTTTTTTTTTTTTTTGAAGTTGAACTATCATCGCATTAATTAAAACACACATTAAAATGTTCCCTACGTATTATATCCAATTTTAAGATTTTCCCAACAACACAAGCATTTTAAACTCATCTGGTCAGCCATAAATATTTCTTAAGAAAATCAAAATTGACAAACCTCAAGTCTCATCCCTTAACTTTCCCCCAAGATGACATTATGCTAACATATCTGCCCAATATCCTCTACATAAAACTACTGTTGCCGTCACTAAGATTTGTATGGAATTTGTGATACTAAAGATCCGAGCTATAGAATTTCTCAAAAACTTGCAGCATTTTACCCACCCCAACAAACCTGTCATAGTTATTGGTAAGATATTTAACAAAGCAGGGGCCAATAAACACCCCCCCCCCCCCCCAAAAAAAAAAAAAAAAAAGGGAGCAATAGGCAACAAAGAGATATTTTGTTTACTAAATTATTTAATTTTTTAATCACTTATTTATAAGATAGACAAACCAGTCTTTTTTTTGGAATTAATCAGAATTCAAACCTGAGTTCTAATATATATAAACCTTGAAATCATCCTCTTTAAACACACGACACCAGCTTTAATGATCAATTTAGGCAAGCAATATCTAATATTAGCTGTTGTTTAGGAATGCATTTTGACCAATTTAAGGAAAAAAAAATTCATCAAACGAGTAAAAACATGGCGAGTTACTGTCTAACAAAACAGAACTATATGCATCTTAATATATAAATAACGCCTATTATGCACATAGGGCTCATTTGGATACCGTATTAGGAATATAGGGATTGGAATAGGAAATACAATCCCACATGTATGTATAAAACATGGAATTAAAGAGGGAACAAAAATAGTACCATTTCTAATCCTGTGTTTGTCAAGTGCGAGACTAAGAGTTACATATATGTAACCACTCCAATTTGGTGTTTGGTTAGATTATTTATTTCATGATATTAATATTGAGTTGGCTAAAAGGCCCTCAATTTACTCCAATATAATCCCTTGTGATGCATCAATTTTTTGTAGTACAAAATCAGTTGGACCAAGAGTTACACAAACTTTATTCATCTTAATAGTTTTCAAATAAATATTTGAGTCAACCTAATATACTTAATTGATTAAATATATATTTATGGATACATGCATTTGTTTATGATGGACGTTGGTCTTTATCATTGTCCATATGACTATCAATTAGGCGAACGGGATGCATCTTTTGCAGTTTGCCCTTTTTAAGAAGCCGATATGTTATTTTAAAAAATGTTAGGGGTCAGATTATTGTTTGTTCAAAAGTCTGGGTGTCTTGGTAATTTTTTCCAAATAAATAAAAAGGGATGAGCACTAGGGTTTTCTTAGTTTTGTGAGGCGCAAAATTGTAAAATAATGATAAATACCAACGCCTCACTAACATAAAAAAAAGCAAAACCTTATGAAAAAACACTTAAAAATATTGCACCCGATTTACCTCCACAAACATGCACAAATAGTAGAATAAGTAATAACCCATGGGATAATGAAGTTAGAATCTATATAATAAAGTAGAGCTAAATTTGAATCCAGAGACAAAGAGAGGTCTAAATCGTTTTTGAGACAAAACATAAGCACATCCAACGGACAATATAATCCCAACATAAAAGGCTGTTCAGATCATCTCAAAAATTTTGATCAAACAGTCAACAACGAGTACTAAATTACCATTTCCCGCCCAACTCAAGCCTGTCTCTCACGCCCTCTCTCTCTCTCACTTCTGCCTCTCCCTCTCTCTCACGCCTCTCTCTCCCAATATATCACGCCTCCATCACATGGAATCCATCTCAAATCTTCCCCAAATCTCAAATCTCACTCAAAATACTGGCCTCACAAACCGCCTAAGACTAAGAGGGCAAGGCTTCATTCCTTGGGCAGAGGGCTTCATTTGATTCTCCAAAATTCAATTCATCACAGAACTTTATCGGCAAGGTAAGTTTATTTCAAGATATGCATATGAACTGCTCTAATTCCTTCAAAGAAAACATCTATATTTTGTTGTTGTTTTTTAGCTTCCCCTTTTTACTCTGGACTTTTGTTGATTATTGATACTTAGGTGGTTTCAGTTTGATAGTATTTGTTTCATGGCTCTAAGTTTTATATATATTCACCACATGTTCGATGAAAGTTCTGAGAGAGCTATGTTCCTGTTCGTTCTTCAATTTTTTCCTTTTTTTCTTATGATTAAATTTCGAATAATGGAATGGCATTTGGGATGTGGATTTTAATATTTATCACTGCCTGTAATTGAGGCCCATCGTTGTTCACCCTATTTCCTTTTTTCACTGTTCGTTCTCCATTGTTGTTCACTCTATTAATGACTGTCTGTGATTGAAGAGTTCTGACTACCTGTCATTGAGGAGTTTTGTTCATCATTTTTAAGGAGTTCTGGATTTGTGCTTTGATCTGTGCTGTTTTTTGGGATAGGAGTTTTGAATTTTTGTTTGTCAACAGTCTCTTACTCGCTGCCATCTTTGTTGAATTTTTTGGTCTAAAGTTCACTCGCTCTAACTTTTTTTCTTCTAGTTTTACATTTGCCAATTCATTAGTGGATTTCTACAAATGTATATATGTGCTATAGGTTCACAGGATGCAAAGGTTAGCAAATTGGAAACAGGCCCAAAGATTGAGCGACACTAGCTATTTGAGGAAGCAAGGCCAGACCCTCTTGACAAATTTTGTCCAAGCTACATCTTTGGGCATGAAGACCTCAGTTTGAACTCTTCCAGCCAATGTTCAAGATTAACCGATGCTTCTGATACAAAAAAAATAAAAGAGAAAAGAAAAGAATAAGAGGATTCTTTGTTTTGATTTTCATATCACCCAAAAAAAGCCCCAACAAGATAAAAAGGTATACAAATGTCAAAGTTAATACTGCTTTCTTGATCTCTTTATATCACTCATGGCACAACAAAATATGATTATTTTCTATGACTGATCAATTATTTCAAAGCAAGATTCAAAATAATTTTTTCGATTTTGTTATAAATTGTTGATAGAAGAACATGCTAATATGCTATCATTGCTGGTTACTGTCTAAGTTCAGCTATAGTTTGGGTCGCTTCAAAGTGGAAGTCTTTGTTGTTTTTTTTAGGATCATGGATGCCTTCATTTGAATTGCTTTGTTTATTACAAAGGAAACTGGAATTATTATTGTTAGATAGCTGCTCAAAAGCATTCTAACTTCATAGTGCAAGTCTTCTATTACAGTGTAGCCTATGCTGGAAAAATGATACTTTCATGGCAGACTGCCAATCTTCATTGGGTAAAAAAAAACACTAAAGAGAATGCTAGAGATCGATATCTCTCTATTCGTATTGGTATATTTTGATGTGGTGTACTTAGTTATAGCGGAGGTTTTTACTACTTATATTGCATTTAGGAGTTTTTCATCTGATTTCTTTATATGTTTGGTTTTCCAACATTTTGATTTCTTTGTCAGTTTATGGACTGAATTTGTATTCGAAAGAGCTACAGACACATTGCCGCCAATATCACATGATATTTTTCTATTTCTCCTATCCAACATCAAATGGGATTTCTTTTCTTTTTTTTCTTTTGTTGTTCTTTATCATTTTTTTTGGTTAAAGTGCAGTAACATTCGACATTGTGTGTTGCTCGCAGTGGGTGGATTCTATGTGTACATTTTTTTTTTTTTGGGATTAAAGTTCTCTGAGTATGATTTTTGAATATAAAGTAGGTTTTATATGTTGATTGTGCCAAAACTACGGCTAAATTTTTGTTCTTTTGGTGTTTGTATGATGATGTTTGAGGACTACACTTGCAAAAGTGGGAGCATTTGCACCACAATATAAACTATGGCTAAATTTTTGTTCCTTTGGTGGTTATATGATGATGTTTGAGGACTACACTGGATTAATGGCTTCTTGAAAGCAATGGAAAATTGAATTTGCTGATTTACATGGTGATGGCGCTTATTTTGTTATTTGGGTCCGGGTGGAAAACGTTAAGGCTGGTTTGATGGTAACTATATCACATGCATCATAAGTACTTTAATCATCTTTTGCACGATGCTACCATAATATGGTTTTTGTTGTTCAGGGGCGATCATTTCCACTACTAGCATGGATGGAATTGAGGAATTTATATTGGAATGGGTGAGTTGGAATTTTTAATAGCTTCCAGCTTGAACGGAATGGACGTGAGACTCATATTCTGATACCTTTTCGTGGTGGTATAAGGTTAGCATAATATTTTTTGTTAAAAGATAATGAGTTCTAATTTTAGTTATTCTCTTGAGGCCCTTAACGCACATTAATATTCGGTGTTTGTTTATTTATAACGTGTCTATGTTATGTGTTTGATTATTTTGTTTTCAAGAACAATGTAAGTTTTTTTTTTTTTTTTAAATTGCACAATTTCAAGCACGGATTATGGGAACAGTTTAGGCTTTCACTTAGTACAAGTCCGAGTTCAGTGCTTGATTATTTCGTACCCAAATTTAGTGTTCGATATTTTTTGAATTGCACCGTGCAGCACGGGTTATCCTAGTAATCTAATAAAGGAGAATCAAAATAATGTCATTCCATCACCACGCTATGGGGTGGATATCATCAACACCCACCTCGGCATCATCATCATCATCATCAACATCATTATCTTTATCATCATTATCAACATCGTATGGTGTCTAAGATTG